TTTCTCCCCCAGCCCTGCCATATACCACTCCCTGCTCTCCTTCAAATTCATGGTCTCTTTTTCCACTAATTATTATTGCATACATACATGTATTTGTATATACATACATGTTCCTAACTATAACCAGCTCAGTCCATATAATGTTACTGGTATGTATGTTTTCAGGGCTACCCTTTTGTTAAAACCAGTTGTGTGCTTTTCCCTAGGGAAGACTGCCTCTTCTGCTTCAAGCTTTCTTCAGTTACCATATTTCTTGGTGTAGAGTTGAGGCCTCATGGGCTTTTCTCCATCCAGTTTGGCATGTTCTTTGGTGTCATGTTTGTTTAACTCAGGTTTTGGTGGTCATGTTGGTGAGACTTCATGGGTATAGCCTCTGAAATTATTAGGAGACATAATCTCATAGCAAAACTCCCTATCCTCTGGTTCTTATACTCTTTCCACAGCCTCCTACACAATGTTCCATGAGTCTTAGTTGCAGGAGCTTTTTGTAGCTGTAGCCATTGGGACTGGGCTCCACATCTCTTTAATTTGATTGGTTATGGTTTTCTGTAATAGTCTCTGTATGTTGCAAAGAGAAGTTTCCTTTATGAAGAATGAAGACTATACTTACCCGTGAATATAAGGACAAATGTTTATAGATTATTCTTAGGGATTATGCTGGGTTAGTAAATTAGGGGTTATATATTCCCCTTCAATAACCACCACTTCCTGGTAACTAGGATTCCAGTACCAATCATATCCCTCTTGCTGAGCAGGTCTTAAGTCCAAGTGTAGAGCTGTTGGTGTACCCTCAAGGTTATTGAGCCATTGATGTTTTTCAGATGTCATAGCTAAGTAGGGCTCTTCGTTGTTTCCCTCCTTTGGAAGTTTGTATGGTACCTTCTAGACCTCCAGGAAGGTGAATTCAGGTCAGTTTCAGCTCAGGGGTCTCTCTGGGTTCTGTTTCTGAAATGCATGGTATCTTCAGCAATAGGGACTTAATTTCCTTTCACCTCTGGGGGGGTCACCTAAGGGTAATACCAATAGGCTGTACGATTTGGGATTCTCTAGGATAGCACAGGCCAACAACTAAAGAAGGCTTCTTAACTCAAAAAAGTGCTTCTCATGTCTGGTATTGTGACTTTCATTAGGTTGTGTTTGGCTATTAGAGGGAACACTGTCAGCCCAGATGAGAAAAGTTCATTAAAACCATATATTTACACATGCATAGAACTGTATACATTATAAAATTTATTTTAATTTGGTAAATAGTTAATTGATTCCATGTGGTTTATTGTTATATTACCCTCCTCCTTCCTCCTGTACTTACCTTCCACAATGCTCCCTAAATAGAGATCACTCTCTGATATTACTCTCTTCATTGTTCCCAACAGGCTACATATTCTTATCTGTTGGAGTTAGGAGCCTCCAATGAGAGATAACATGTGATGTTTGTCTTTTTGAGTTTGGGTTACCACATTCAATATGATCTTTTCTAGTTCCATCCATTTACCTGAAAATTTCATGATTCTATTTTTCTTTACAATAGAATACTATTAAGGGGAGAAATTTAAAGTATTATCTTTTAATATTAAGTATCCATTTTCTAAAATTTTCTCTATCTTTTCTAACAGCAATGCTCCTGCAATGATTATTGTGAAATATTTATTTTTATATCTATTCAAAAGAAAATATTACAGATCTAGTAGACATAAAGCCTTCTTAAGCTATGGTATTAAACCTCAGACATGCACAAATGAGCCTAATCCCATCTCCATGGTATTTTCATCTTTAAATGTATTTATAATGGAATGTGTATACTAATATATAGTGGCCAGAATGGTATGGATGTAATGGACCACTCTTGGGCTTGATTTGAGAGTTGATCTACAAGAGGGAATCTACACCTCATACTGTAAGGTCAAGTCAAAACCATATTACTGGAAAAAACCATAGGTCCTGTGGTGGAGGTTCTTAATGCTGTTTGACTCAGTACACAGAATCAAACTGCCTTAAAAACTCTTTCTACCCATAGACAAATGTTACTTTCAATCTCAATCAGAAAAGCCTACCTTTGCAAGCCAGTAAATGCAGGGATTTTTCTTTGCTCATAGCTCTTAGAAAAAGTGGTGGCTAAATGTTAATCCTAAATAAAACAGTTCATTCTAAGCCTTAGGCAAGGCTTAGGGAACATTGTGAAAGAATTTAAGAGCTGGAAGATAGGCCGATTAGCATATAACCACAGCTACAAAATGGCATCTTGTTAGTATGTCACAGCCATTGCAATCATGAGCTGCCAGCAGTGTGGTTACATGCACAGGGCTCTGCCAGCAGTCAGTCCCAGACGGGGAAGAGACTCATGGTGCTTTGCCAATCCCTGATGGAGTTCTGGCTACTGATGAGTAATGGGCATTGAGGAGTCATTGCTTTCAGTTGTGTCCCCATCAGTGATAAGCTCATCAGGCTCCCTCCAGTGGGTAGTTCCAAACTATTTTTTTACACAGGTAGTCCTGATTAAACACAAAGGTCACAAAACAAAATCACAGGAACATGACAAAGAAATTAGGGGTGGAGGTGGTAGGTTGACAGGTGTCAGGAAGATTAGAAAGGGCCAATATGAGAGTAATCAAAATGCATTATATGCATGTATATAATTTCTAAAAACAAATTTAATTTTTCAAAAACCTACAGAATTAGCCTCTGGGATCAATATTACAATGAAAAGAACAGATTAGAATTTGTGATGTATGAATTTGTATTCCTTAAAGACTTCCCTACTCAGTTCACTGATAGTCATAAAATGTAATTTCTTTAACACCCATAACAATGGTTATCATTTATACCATACTAAAAGCATGAGGGACACTCTAGTATGGGATTTACATATATTAACTTAGTTCATCCCCATCATTACTCACTGAACAGATATTGTTATTATCCCCTCCTTACATATTCAAAGCACAGGTAGTAAAATAGTCCTTGGAGACTCTAAAAATATAGTAAGAATAAAGATTAACAAAACTAGTAGAAGTAGCTTATCATTATCACATAGTGCATTCTCACATACGGATTCTGTATTAAATTTGCATTTAATTCTGACAAGTTTGCTATAAAACACACCTTACTTACTTTTCCAGAAAACTAACAAAAAATTTCAGCAATGCAAAGTTCCTCATGTTTCAACAGCTAATTAAGTTGTATAGCTAGTATTTAAAAGCATGTCCTTCTAAGGCTTTTAACCGTGAAGCATAATATCTCAGCAAATGCAAGAATGACAACAAACTGACAAATCTCACTCTACAGTGTTAGTCATTTATCTCTTGCCTTATTTTAAATAGCAAGAGAATGAATGAAGTGTGTAAAAAGGAAAGCAACTCATAAAATCCTGACACCTTTCCCCCTGTAATCATAAAAACCCCACATATTTGCCACTGATATTAAGTTACAGTCTTCAGCCTAGTACACATATGTAAGAATTGTTTTTCAAAATGAAGAAAAGCCGGGAGTTGGTGGCGCACACCTTTAATCCCAGCACTCAGGAGGCAGAGGCAGGCGGATCTCTGTGAGTTCGAGGCCAGCCTGGTCTCCAGAGCGAATGCCAGGATAGGCTCCAAAGCTACACAGAGAAACCCTGTCTCGAAAAACCAAAAAAAAAAAAAATGAAGAAAATTCAGACTTTTAATGTTTACTTTCCTGCTTATTTTCTCAAATTTCTTACTTTCTTTAAAAGAATTTAAGATTTTATTTATTTAATTTATGTGATTGTTTTACCTGCATATATATTCCTGCATCATGTATGTGTCTAGTCCCCACAGACGTCACAGATGGTGTTAGATACCCTAGAACTGGATTTACAGATTGTTGTGGGGCATCATATGTGTTCTGGGAACCAAACTCTTCAAGACCAAGTATTCTTTACTACTGGGCATCAGTCTTATCTCTTTAGCCCTCTTTTTCCATTTTGTTTTAACATGGAAGGGATATCTTTATTTCTTCAAAATAATTATCATGATTAGGTTTTAGTTTTTCTATTACTAAATGCCATTACTGATAGACCTTGAACTTGAAATAAAAGTTCAAATGGTCTATCTCTTGTCCACAATTGAATGAACAGTTGCACAATGCAAACTTATTCAAATGAAAATGATTACTTGGTATTTGAGATAGTAAAAAAAATCTCATTTCCATCTGTGCAGGAATAAGAGATGAATTTACAAAAGAATTAAAATTATATTTGGCTCAAAGATGCCAGATAAATAGAAACATGATTATGGTTTACTCCAAAAGTTCTAAACTTACAGAATCCTCAATAAATCCTCAGTAAAAATGCATGCTTAAACAGGAGTAACATATATTAATTCCATACAGACAAAACGACATTGCCTTTAGTTTTAACTTTTAATATGTGTTCACAGAAGTCCAGTTCTTAAAATAGTCAATAATTGTTCAATGAGTCATATTTTAATTTTCTAGAATAGAACAACACTATATAAAAACTTTACAATTTGTAAGATTATTTATACATGTCACTTTCAAATTAATTTTTTTGGTTTTTTGAGGCAGAGTTTCTCTGTGGCTTTGGAGGCTGTCCTGGAACTAGCTCTTGTAGACCAGGATGGTCTAGAACTCACAGAGTGCTGGGATTAAAGGTGTGTGCCAGCACTGCCTGGCCAAATTAATTATTTTTAAGTCATATAATCTTCTCCCTTTTCAACTTAACTTTCCCTGATCTAATCAACTGTGTTCTCCAAATCCTAAAATGATCTTCCCTTTTAACATGTGACAGCCTATCTTTTTCTGAGGGCAGGGTAGCCTTGACATTTTGATTAGTACTTATCAATGTCAGGAATTCATTTTCTCCTCCATCTCACTTGTTAAATAAATCTTGATACATTATTGGTACAGTTTGTATTAGTAACATAATGGACATTTAAGATGAGTCATAGAGGAGACTACTAGGTGACTTCGTGTCTGGTCTCCGCAGCGGCGGTGACCACTGAGAGAAGGGCATGTTTGTGTAGTTGCCCAAGAAGCCTAACATCAAAATCTTCAGCGGGAGCTCCCACCAGGGCTTATCCCAGAAAATTGCTGACCGCATGGGCGTGAAGCTAGGCAAGGTGGTGACTAAGAAATTCAGCAACCAAGAGATCTGTGTGGAAATTGAAGAAAGTGTACGTGGAGAGGATATCTACATTGTTCAGAGTTGGTGTGGTGAGATAAATGACAATCTAATGGAGCTTCTGATCATGATTAATGCTTGCAAGATTGCTTCAGCCAGCCGGGTCACTGCAGTCATCCCATGTTTCCCTTATGCCTGCCAGGATAAGAAGGATAAGAGCCGGGCTCCCATTTTGGCTAGGCTTGTTGCAAATATGCTATCTGTAGCAGGAGTGGATCATATTATCACCATGGATCTACATGCATCTCAAATTCAGGGCTTTTTTGATATCCCAGTGGACAATTTGTATGCGGAGCCAGCTGTCTTAAAGTGGATAAAGAAAAATATATCTGAGTGGAGAAACTGTACTATTGCCTCACCTGACACTGGTGGAGCCAAGAGTGACCTCCATTGCAGACCATTGAATGTGGATTTTGCCTTGATTCACAAGGAATGGAAGAAGGCCAAGTAAGTGGATTGCATGGTGCTAGTAGGAGATGTGAAGGATCGGGTGGCCATACTTGTGGATGACCTGGCTGACACTTGTGGTGCAATCTGTCTCATTGAATGTGGATTTTGCCTTGATTCACAAGGAATGGAAGAAGGCCAAGGAAGTGGATTGCATGGTGCTAGTAGGAGATGTGAAGGACCGGGTGGCCATACTTGTGGATGATATGGCTGACACTTGTGGTGCAATCTGTCATGCTGCTGACAAACATCTCTCAATTGGAGCTACCAAAGTTTATGCTATC